AAGATTCCTAATTTCTATTTTCCGAATATTTCAGTTACTTTTTGCATGAACTCTGCCTTATTTCTGTTATCTTTTAAACGATGTACACAAAGCAAACACAACCCTGAAAGATGTTCGTCAGACATCGTCGAATGAAGCCAAGTTTTGACTCGTCTGGGGGTACTAAAGGAACGCCCCAACCGTTCATGTTGTTGTTGATAAAGTAAGTGTAATAAGAATAGCTTGACGGAGAGACGAGGAAAAAGCTGCAAGTCACTTTTGCTATCTTGTGATTGTTGCTGCATGCTCCAAAAATCAAAGCAGTTCTTCGCGTCAAGCTCGAAGCTGTCAACTGAGTACAAACTATGCAATGATAGCGACGCTTTTCTTAAACTCGACACGATTAAGACATGAAATGATAGCTAAGGCTGAAGTCTGAATAGCTGAAACTGGGGACTCATGTCTCCAGAGAAACGATTGGTCAGAGATGATATTATAGAATCCAAGTACGGAACAAATTTTCTTTGTCTCAAGAAGTCTTTTTTGGGTCGGATTATTTACTGTTTTTATTTGAGCTGCTAGGATTGCTGCGATGTACTTCTCCTACATGGATATGGGGGCTTTTCGTCTTAATGTTAACTAAATCTGCAAGGGCCAAGTCCACAGTTACGGGGGCTTTTCATCTTAACTTAATGTTAACTCAATCTCCAAGGGCCAAGTCCACAGGTACGGGGGCTTTTCATCTTAATGTTAACTAAATCTGCAAGGGCCAAGTCCACAGGTACGGGGGCTTTTCATCTTAATGTTAACTAAATCTGCAAGGGCCAAGTCCACAGGTACGGGGGCTTTTCATCTTAATGTTAACTAAATCTGCAAGGGCCAAGTCCACAGGTACGGGGGCTTTTCATCTTAATGTTAACTAAATCTGCAAGGGCCAAGTCCACAGGTACGGGGGCTTTTNTCCATTGATATGGGGGCTTTTCATCTTAATGTTAACTAAATCTGCAAGGGCCAAGTCCACAGTTACGGGGGCTTTTCATCTTAACTTAATGTTAACTAAATCTGCAAGGGCCAAGTCCACAGGTACGGGGGCTTTTCATCTAAATGTTAACTAAATCTGCAAGGGCCAAGTCCACAGTTACGGGGGCTTTTCATCTTAACTTAATGTTAACTAAATCTGCAAGGGCCAAGTCCACAGGTACGGGGGCTTTTCATCTTAATGTTAACTAAATCTGCAAGTTTCAAGACTTTTTAATAAATATTTTACTTAAACTGAGTTTCGACATTCTGACGATGCTCACAGAAAATGTCCGTTAATTTACAAATATGTTTATGTTCACTTACCAAACCCAGCTGTATGGCTTGCAATGATTGAGTTACAGGTACCAGTATCGCTGAGTATGGAAAGATAATAACAGTATATCCGAAAAATATAGGCGAAGACCATGAACACAATAGCTGGTGAGAGGGGAAGAACATGAACACAATAGCCTGGTGAGAGGCGAAGAACATGAACTCAATAGCCTGGTGAGAGGCGAAGAACATGAACACAATAGCCTGGTGAGGGGCGAAGAACATGAACTCAATAGCCTGGTGAGAGGCGAAGAACATGAACACAATAGCCTGGTGAGAGGCGAAGAACATGAACTCAATAGCCTGATGAGAGGCGAAGAACATGAAAACAATAGCCTGGTGAGGGGCGAAGAACATGAACTCAATAGCCTGGTGAGAGGCGAAGAACATGAACACAATAGCCTGGTGAGAGGCGAAGAACATGTACACAATAGTCTGGTGAGAGGCGAAGAACATGAACTCAATAGCCTGGTGAGAGGCGAAGAACATGAACACAATAGCCTGGTGAGAGGCGAAGAACATGTACACAATAGCCTGGTGAGAGGCGAAGAACATGAACACAGTAGCCTGGTGAGAGGCGAAGAACATGAACACAATAGCCTGGTGAGAGGCGAAGAACATGTACACAATAGCCTGGTGAGAGGCGAAGAACATGTACTCAATAGCCTGGTGAGAGGCGAAGAACATGTACTCAATAGCCTGGTGAGAGGCGAAGAACATGAACACAATAGCCTGGTGAGAGGCGAGAACATGTACACAATAGCCTGGTGAGAGGAAAAGAACATGTACACAATAGCCTGGTGAGAGGCAAAGAATATGCACACAATAGCCTGGTGAGCATCTTGTTGCCTTTTGCCCGTGTCATTGGTTGCCAGATTGTCCAACTGATTTCATATTACCTCAAAATTCTCACTGAAAATACCTGACAAATGCTTTTATATTTTGTTGACATCGAGTTTTACAAAACAATGGAACGTTACGTTTGAACGACCTTCGTTTTATGCTCTCACGGAAAAAAAAAAAAAATCTTAATGAAAACTTTGATTGTTCCAATGGCATTACGCACTTCAACAGCTGAATTCCAATCATTAACCACCAGATTGAGTCGATGCGCAAAACAATGAGCAGAAGCTGTAATTGGTAAAAAGTGTGCGTAATTTGGTCTGAACACTGCCTTCCTTTCCTGCCATTGTCGAACAGCCATCATATCTTTGTCCAAGTCATTTTGTCATGTCCAGACCACATTGATTGCAGTGATTGCTGTCATTTGCTTCTGTGATTGGAATCCGATGCAGTCTTCACAATTTTTTTTAAATTTACTCTCTACGTTGTCTACAAAACGTACCGCCAAGCACAATTGTGCTGTTCCTGATACATCAGCTGTTTTATCGGCTAATATTGAGAATGCCACAGCTGGTTTTACTGATATAATAATTTATTTTTGGATTACTTCCTCACATATCTCTATGACGCAATCACATCTCTCTATGACGCAATCACATCTCTCTATCGGTTGATTTTTGGACAATGTGAGAGATATAACGAGCATTACCAACGGTGGTCCACAAAATGTGTATCCAGGTCTTTGTCGCCAGCCTCCACACTAAGAAGAAAAAGAATATGAATATTTCCACTGTCACTTATTTACCACGAAGTGCGATGCCGTGTGTTGCACAGAAAATGATTGTGGATAATACCGGCACAAAACTTATTTCGATTTTCTAAAACCTTATCAGAAATTAACTTGTCTATCTGACTTAGGATTTGTCGGTCTGTATTCCTAAGGATGATCAAGAATGCTATTGCATCCTGCCGAGCACCTTTGTGCCACTCACTTTCCACATAATTACGAGCACCTTGGGGAAAGTCATTGTACTTATTGAACGATGTTGCTGTAAATGGCACTTGGTACACGTGATGAATGTTTGCGGAAAAAATACAACAAACTATTCCTATTGGACCATTAAGATGACTAGAAAATAGGCGAGCCACGGAGAAAACTGATCAAGCCAGGCATACCGAAAACAACGCTCTTGGCCAGGTCAATCCTTAGTGACATTGTTTAACTAGCTCTTGGTCGGCATAGGTTTGTAAGTAAACGATGTTCTAAAACAGCGGTTCTCAACCTTCCTAATGCCGCGACCCCATAATACAGTTCCTCAAGTTGTGGCGACCCCCAAACACAACATTATTTTCGTTGCTTCTTCATACCTGTAGAGTATATGTGTTTTACGATGGTCTTATGTGACCCGTGTAAAAGTGTCATTCGACCCCTTAAGGGGACGCGACCCACAGGTTGAGAACCGCTGTTCTAAAACATCTGACAGCTGAGACGTTGACTGAATATATCGATCCAAATCAAAATCATTGATCGCCATATCACAGCCAAAATTATCATCTGTTGATATTTTCCTGTCAAATTTGAGTGATGCTGACTGATAGTGGTGAATCGCAGATCTGAGAACCACTGACACTACTGACAGCAGCTTCCAACTCCTGCGAGTGTGAAATGGTCATGTCATTACGTTTAGTTTGTTCTTCAATTTACAGGGCCTCTCTTGTCAGTGTCGTTGATGTGGACACAGTTGGTAAGTAACAACATGTCTTACACTCATCATCTTCAAATGACATCTTTAGTCATATGAGACATATACAAAGAAATACTATTTATTTTTATATAAACTATTTTACATTCATAGGGACAAAGTTCAAATATTAATAATTTTTAGTATGAATTTTTTCCCCAGGGTGGGTCATGTCACCCACCTTGGCTCATAGTGTGGGCGCCCGTGGTCCCCAAGCTGCGTGAGGCCCTAGGAAATAGCCCAGGGTGCCCGTGCCTTAAGACATCACAAGGTGACACCCCGTTCTTGTGTCATTCTGTCTGTAGCACCCTGTGCTTGTATTTACCTTAGATACGTTATGACACCAACACGAGCAAACTCTGTCAAATTTTTATTTTTAACTTTTTGATGTCACCCACTTTTGAGTGGGTCATTCGGTGTTCCAGGCCAGCACCCTCTGCCCCTAGTGACGCGACTGCCACTTGTTTTACATTCAGCTTCAACAAATTACAATGCTCGCGTATTTTACAGTCTATAACTTTTTAGTCGAAAGGTAATCTTCTTCCGTCTACCCACCTAAAAAAAAAATATTACGGAAGTATTACAATTTTAAAAAAGAATTGGGGGGGGGGGGGGGGGGGGGGGGGGGGGGGGGGGAATTGTTAATGCTTATTTTGCACACAACAGTACCCCGGATGTTGACATACTGAAGCAGTGGTTCTCAACCTTTCTAATGCCGCGACCCTTTAATACAGATCCTCATGTTGTGGCGACCCCAAACAAACAAATTATTTTCGTTGATACTTTATATTTGTAGAGTATATTTGTTTTCAGATGGTCTTAGGCAACCCCTGGGAAAGGGTCGTGCGACCCTCAAAGGAGTCGCGACACACAGATTGAGAACCGCTGTTCTAAAGATAGACTCGAAAATAAAAGAGCTCTTCTACTTCTAGTGACCATTAATTGCCGTTAATGATTAATGAGAATGTTATGACATAGCACATACTGTTTAATTAATTGATGTTGTTTTGGAAATTATAGAAGTATATCAATGCCTTTTTCATAAAAAGATTGTCTGTATAAATTAATACAAAATGTCTGGTACTTCTACGTTTCTAGTGCCAAATAATATGAGTCTGCGAAGTGAGCTTTGGCCTTGGACTGACGGCCGCCGCAAGCCTAACAAAATCTTGTTTACAATTTTTATTTTAAAACTTGAAGTATAAGGTTACTATATTTTAAAAATTGTTACTGCTATATTAAAAAATATACTTACACATTTTGTGAAATGGGAGTTCATTGCGCGTACGGCACATGCAACAGTGACTCTAGATACAAGGATCGCCCACACATGCAGGGTGTTAAATTTTATTCATTTCCTAATCCTCAAAAAGATTTAGAGAAATGTAAAAGATGGGTTGACGCTTGTAGCAGAGAAGGATTTTTTGTCCACAGTCTATCTAAACACATGTTTATATGCAGTAAACATTTTGTTGGTGGAAAAGGTCCTACAGAAAAGTTTCCAGATCCTATACCTACTAATTTCACTGATACACAGGTAGAGTGTAGGCAGTTTTATTTCATTTCAACATATTTTTCTCAGAGGATATTGTTTGTTTTATAGGCCTATATATATATTAATGATATATATATATTTAAATATATATATTATGTAATTTGGTCTACAACTTAACTAGTAGACTATGACTATGCTACGACTATGATCCAAAGAAATGGAAATGCTTTTTGATTGCATTGTAATTGTACATTTTCAGCAGATAAATAAAACAATTTGAACACAAGACATCCACATTAAATTCATTAAATTATTTCACTAGTGAACAAAAAAACAAATAGTCCTACTAATACTAATACAAATATATTTCAAATATTATTTACATGTTTAGCAAAGAAAAATAATATTAATATTCAGGTTAAATCTATAAAGGCCCTAATCCTACATCTAAAATGAGGCCTGAATTAATTTGACAACAGAAATAGCAATAGATTATATAAATTTAACTATACTTTGTTAATAAAATAGATAAAGTGTATACTGATGCAGTTATCATACAAATTATTATTTTTTATTCATTGATTAAAGTTAAAGCCATCCATAATTCTATATTTCTTGTTACAATTGATGTATTTATTATTTCATTTTCATTTATGAGGCATGAGGGTTTAAAAGTCCTTTATTCCTGATATGATAAAAAGGGAAGTGGCAGCCAAAAAGTTATAGTAGGGCTTGTCACTGCTTTGCTAAGACCGAGCAAGGTTCAAATTCCAGTGAAGACTGCTTTATGTAGTGCGTTGTCCCATTCAAGTTATATAGCACCCTTAAAAACGTGGTGATTCAGTGTACGGCTTACTGGCTGTGACTAAAATAAGTTAATTTAGATTAATAAATTAATTTTCATAATTAAGTCCCTTTTTGTATATCTGCAGTTGAAAAAATTTTCTAAACACAGAAAGCAACCCCTGGTGAGACCAACATTACAACTTCCAGTGGCAACCACAAGTCAGTGCTTGGATGAGGAAAATTCATTTGTAAATACTGGCAGTGTATCTGTACAAGGCACCTTGGATAACCGTAAGACAGGTAGGCCTCATCTCAGAAAAGGTTTTTTGCGGAATGAATGGATGAAATTATTTTTGTATTATGCCCGGACAACCTTATATTGTAAAGGGTCATTTTACCTGAACACAAAATATAAATTGTTTACCAAATTATTTTATTAGTCCGTAATTGTCATTAGATAATGATGTAAAATCTAAAACAGGTAAGATTGTGTTCAAGCATAGTAAATTCAATACCAAGGAAATAGCGTATTTTATTTATTGTTTTTTTTTTTTTTTACAGAATCTGCTTATGTAATCTATGGGCCTAGGGCATTTATTTATTATTCAAATACTGATTTTGTGTAGCCGAACTAAAGAATAAACAATCAGTTCTAGCTCTGAAGAGTACAGACAGTATTTTAATCAGTGGTCATAAGATGTTATAGATTACTGTTTTTACAGATTTGGTGTGCAGATTATTAATCAATAAGTTATTTAAAATTTAAAAGTTTACATTACAATCTGTGTAATTGTAAAGAAAAATACTGTAATTACATTAAAAAATTTATACTAGGAATATAGATTTCATTTTGTTGACATATTTACTACTATGGAGACTGATGTATACGAGAAAATTCAGAAAGTATATTGAGGAGCCAATATATTTTATTTAATTAACACAGTTGTGTTACACAATATAGATTTATACATTTACAAAATACAGTAAAGGATTTTAATATTATTTTTAGGTTGTTTTTTTTTATACTTACCTTAATTTTGATTTTTATTAATTTTTTTTTTCTAAATGATACTTTTCAAATTTCAGAAAAAGTGGAAGATTTCAAAGAGAGTTATGGCTGTATTAAATATGAAAAAATGGAAGATTTAAGCAATGAACATAACGAGAAAGAGAAAAGTTTCATTACTAATGTGGATGAGCAATTTGTAAATGTACACAAAATTCAAAATTTCAAAGAGGAATACCCTCTTGTTAAAAGTGAAAATGAGGAAGATTCATGCAATGAAGAAGAGAAAATTTTAACAACAGACAAGGTTGAGGAATATGGAAATATACATAAAATTGAGCATTTCAAGCTAGAATACCCTCTTGTTAAAAGTGAAAATGAGGAAGATTCATGCTATGAACAGGAGAAAATGTTTACAAAAAAGGATGACGACAATGTAAAAGTACCAAAAGATGGAGATTTTAAAGAGGTATGTCCTCCTGATACAGGCAATAGTAATGGTATTAATTATGTCCTAAACAAGGAAATTTACAATGGGGACTGCTCTATTGTCAAAAGGGAAAGAGAGGAGGATATAGATATGGAGGAGAATATCTTACCAACACACCTGCTGGAGGCCCTCACTAAATCAGTAAATGGTGAGAAACAGATAAATTGTGAGAAACAGACAAATTGTGAGAAACAGACATATAGTGAGATACAGGCAAATAGTGAGAAACAGAAAAATGTTGTGATACAGAAAAATGTGATGTCTTTGTCCCCATCATCCAAAAATGAAGAGAAAACCTTGTCATGTGACTTTTGTCCTGCATTTTTCTCTCATAAATCAAAGCTCAAGAGACATAGGGGGTTACATACTGGAGAAACAATCTACAAATGTAAAAATAGTCCTGTTGCTTTAGCTCTCAAATTATGTCTAGTCAAACGGATGCAAACCAAGGAAAAACCTTTCAAATGTGAGGATTGCCCTTCGGCTTTCTCTCTCAAAACAGATCTAGTAAGACATCAGAGACTGCATACTGGGGAAAAACCCTACACATGTGACATTTGTCCTGCAGCTTTCCCCCTAAAATCAAGTCTAGTCAAACATCAAAACATTCACACTGGAGAAAAACCTTACAAATGTGATGTTTGTCTTTCAGACTTTGCTCTGAAATCAAATCTAGTCAGACACCAAAGAGTCCACAATGGGGATAAGCCCTACAAATGTGAAGATTGCTCTGCAGCTTTCTCATGCAAATCAAGCCTAGTTTCACACCAAATTGTTCACACTGGTGAAAAACCTTACAAATGTGACATTTGTCCTGCAGCTTTTTCGCTGAAATCAAGTCTAGTATCCCATCAACTGGTACATACTGGAGAAAAACCACACAAATGTGACATTTGTCCGGAAGCTTTTACCCTAAAATCAAGTCTAGTATCACACCAACTATCGCATACTGGTGAAAAACCATACAAATGTGACCTTTGTCCCGCTGCTTTCACTCTTAAATCCAGTTTTTGTAAACATAAAAAAATACACTCTGGTGAAAAAGCTCACCAATGTGACAACTGTTCTGCAGCTTTCATTTTCAAATCACGTCTAGTTGCACATCAAAGAATGCACACTGGAGAAAAACCCTACAAGTGTGACATTTGTGTTGCAACTTTCGCTCTTAGCACAAGTCTAGTAAGACACCATAAAGTGCACTCTGGGGAAAAACCCTACAAATGTGCCATTTGTGATACAGCTTTTCCTCTTAAAGCAAGTCTAATAAGACACCAAAGAGTGCACACTGGAGACAAACCCTACAAGTGTGACATTTGTCCTGCAGCTTTCTCTTGCAAATCAAGCATAGTTGCACACCAACTAGTACATACAGGAATTAAAAACCACAATCATTGATGTGGAAAACCTTCTCATTGAATTGTGAGTGGCTAGACTCATAAAATACAGCACCCCCCCCCCCCCCC